ATTGTGCTGAAGTATCAGCCACTCTAAATTTAAATCTTGAAGCCAGATGCCACCTTGTGGTGAAAAAAGTCAGGCCCCAAGTTGCTCTTTGAACTGGCTTCCAAGCTGATTCGGGTGGATGGAAAAGTGAGCTGTATAGTACTGTTCATGGTTCTTCTAGAGTCGTTTTCTTGAGTAGAGTCAGTTCAATGAGTATAGCAGTTTTCCTTGGATTTTGACCACACAATTTATTTGGTCTAAGGAGAATTTTGAACATTTCTTGGGTCAGGGCCCCTGGAAAAACAGGAACAACATCACCTCAGTATTATTGGATCCTACAGAAGAGTAAGTAGAAGCTATATTGCACCATATGTTTAATACTTCTCCAGAGTCTGTATGTTGTACAAATATGAGTCAAGGTTCATGACAGTATTGTAATATAGTATGAATAATGCTACAGGAAGCAAGATTACATAGAAAGTCAACTGTGGAACTGGGAAGACAATCCAGGAGCCCAAATTCTCACTTTTGTGGTTTAATAACTAGACCGGGGTTCTCAAACTTCATTGCACCGTGACCCCCTTCTGACAACAAAAATTACTGCATGACCCCAGGAAAAGGGACTGAAGCCTGAGCCTACCTGAGCCCGACCCCCCTCAGTAGGGGACCAGGGCCAAAGTCAAACTCCAAGGGATTCAGTCCTGGGGAGGGGGGTCTGTAACCTGAGCCCCGCTACCTGGGGCTGAAGCCCACTGGGCTTGGGCTTCAGCCCCGAGCTCCAGCAAGTCTAACGCCAGCCCTGCTGACTCCATTAAAATGGGGTCGCAACCCACTTTGGGGTCCCGACCCACAGTTTGAGAACCGCTGAACTAGACTATACTCCTGGGCATACGTGTATCACATTAACACTGAAAGGGGGGCATGGGGAGAGAAATCAGTGATGGTCATCTCAGTCCCAGGAAGCCATTTCAAGGGTAATGCTGAAAATGCCCTCTGCACAGGGTACCAGAAGTTATCTATTCAAATTCACTCACTGTTCAGTGTCTAATTACTGAGTATTTTGTGGGTACAGCATTTGTACGCAGACTTGAATTCTTAGACACAAATCTGCTGCCATTTCTTTTCTGAAAGGATCTCAAGATCCAGTTGTGGCAGGCTAACCTCAGTGACACTGTGCTAGGTAACAGAGGTTTTGTCAATGCCAGAGAATTTCACCCTGTTGTAGCATCCTTGGGACATCTGAACATCCATGGTTATTTGTCATGGTGCAGTATGTCCATGTTAGCCATTTTGTTTCTGATACACCACTGCTCTACACCATATACAACATTGCCTGCAATCATTGCAGTACCAGAGCATTGTGGGTACACATTCTAGTGTTCCTATCATAAGTCTTCACAGTGGAGGTTTGTGGGAGTACCAGTTTACAGGTGGAGAGGTGCTATACCTTTTAAAAAAATGGAAGCCATACAAATGATGGTGTGTCAATGTATGAAAGAGCATGTGTCTCACCAGTATTATGCAATGGCTTCACCATTTAATTTATTTTCAGCATGAAAAAGCCGGATGACTGAATGCATTGTCCCGTGTAAAAAAAACCAAAAACCAAAACTGAGTACATATAGTTACAGAAGCTGCAATAACTAAAAATAAGAAAGTAATCCAGAGTACAGAAGACATTGCCCAGAGCGCCCACTGAGAAGCACTGTGTTGGGAGGACAAAGACCTATTGCAACTGCACAGCTGTAACATTATTTAGCACTGAAAAAGCAAACAATGAAACAATAGAGAACACAGAGGAAGTGAGCCTTGCTCCAAACAAATGCTAGCAATACTTGCAAACTCTTGTTTGTAGATATGAGATGTGTAACAGAAAGCACAGCAGCCTCTTGCCATGCCAGAATCCTCCAGTGTAGCCAAGAGGAAATTGATCCCTACAGACTGTGCCCTGACAACTTTTAGCTGTTCTGATCAGCCACACCAAGAATGCAATACATAAATAGTACATACTGTACATAATGGAATAATTTAGTGAACCAGAAATTCATATAGCTGAGTAGCTTCTACAGTCATGGACTTCTAGGTGCAGATATATGCATACAAATAACAAATGCAAATCGTCTTGTTCTGAGTGCAGCAATAAATCTTGATATGCAGGTCTGGCTGTGGGAAGGGTTCACAGATACACACAGTTCAGATATGACTATGATGTAGGACCCATCTCTTCTGTGTTTTGTAAAGTTGAGACAGCTGACAGCACTCAAATAACCTAAAGCAAGCAGTCCTGGTGGCAGTGTGCATGCCTACTAGAAATGAAAGACACACCACAGATGCCTACAGCCTAGGGAGCATGTAACAGCCAGAGAGCAAATGTGCACACTTTTTTTTTTTTTTTTAAAGATATGACCCTGTGTGCTGCAAAACACAGACCATATGTTTTAGATAGGCCATCTTTATTGAGCTGAGTTCCCCCATAAGGTTAGTGTTTACACAGCATCCATTTTGCACTTTGGAGGCAGTGTAGCCTACTTGACAGATCACTGGACTGGGACTTAGGAAACATGGTTTCTCTTCTTGGATTTGCCATGGCCTGCCGGGTAACCTTAGGCAAATTGCTTCACTTCTGCCTCCATTTCCCTAGCTGTAAAACAGGGATAATGATGCTTAACCTCCTTTTTAAGGAGACCTACTGATGAAAAACACTATGTAAGAGCTACGTGTTAGTTGGTCATGCCAGAAGTCTGAAATTTCAAAAGGCCTAACTTCTGGATGTGTACCCTTACTGCATTAAAGCTGCTCTCACTCAGGTCTCAAATTACTACTCCTGCAGATTCAACAGGCTTATATCTCCTCAATCTGCTGCCTTTAGTACCTTGGCCCACTTCCTACTCATCTGTGTTCTCTAATTCCTGGGCTTCCAAGACTATGGTTTCTTATTTTGCTTTTTAAGCTCTCCAGTAGCTCATCAGGTCACTTCAACCCCTTATCCCCATCTATGACCTTCAAGACACACACATCAGCCAGCTCCCTTTTGGTAACCTTATTCACTCCTGCGGGTTCAGCTCTCTGCAGAAGAATCAAATCTACATCCCACAATCTAGGATTCCTGCATTAGCTTCTCTATTTCCCCACAGAGTTCTCTTCATTTTCAAGGCACCTCACCTGACTAAATTTTGGCCATTTCTTCTCCTCTCTCAGGTCTACCTAAACCTCTATCCTGTCAACTCCCTTTTGTTTGAAGCACAGACTATGTCTACACCCTGGGGAATATAGCCACATAGCTATCATGGCACAGCTATGGCTGCCTAACTAAATAATGTAGACGCAGCCTACAAAGATGAAAGGGAGAGACAACAGGTAGGTCGACAGAAGAATGCTTCCGTTGACCTAGCTGTGTCTACATCGTGGTTAGGTTAACATAGCTACGGCACTCAGGGGTGTAAAAAATCCACACTCCTGAGGGCCATAGTTATGTCAGCCTAAACTAAGTATAGACCAGGCCCAAGTCTATTATTGCTACCTCTTATGCTTGGAAGTCAGTGTATCTACATACCCACATACACAAGCACCTGAAAACCACCAATTGTGCTTAGCTTTCAAGACCTAGGTTTCAGAGTTAACAACCCACTGGGAATGAAAAAGGGTTACTTCATACCTTCTTTCTCATAATTGTTTCAGGCTGCCTGCAGACTCAGGAAGACAATATAGTATCAATTTACACTCTGTGAATTAAAACTTTCCAATTGAAAACAATCATCACAACCAAAACAAGTTTTTTTAAAATGACAGTTTAGATTCTGAAGCAACAATTCCATAAGAAGGAATGAATTGTGCAGCCAATTCAGGAGTTGCAAAATACATGAATGTCTTGGCCTATATACAGTAAGAAAATTTAAAAAAAAAATATTTTCAAACTTTTAGACTTAATAGCCATATCTGTTCTTTATATTTAACACACACAACTCTCCACACCAATGTAGAGTAAGACAATGCTGACAAACAAATTTGTATACTGAGCAAAACAAAGCCAAAAGAAACCTCCCCCCAAAACCCCACACAGTACTTTAACTGGATCCTCCACACACATTGGACAGCACAGAAGACAAGGTGTAACGCAGTGTTCCGCCCACAAGAGTGCCTGTAGGGAAGAAAAACTGTCAATCCTCTTCGTGGGGGCTGGTCAGATAAAGGAGTGGAGTTAACTCAAGAGTCTTTCTATGCCTCCTGCTAGAGATTGAAGAAAAGTCACCATATCTTTCACGGTCAGTGTCAAAGACTGCTAACAAATCCAACGGAATCAGCATGGATATTTTACGCTCTTCCACTGCTGGGAGTAGGTCACAAATCAGCAACACCAGTGGACTTGAAAATATGTGACTGGGGACAAGGAAATCCAAGAATCCAAGTATTAGAGTTGCTCTGGCACAACCATCTTTCCTCAAAAGTGCAATGTTACTGCATTAGTCCATTTTTGCAGATGAGAAAAGTGAGGTGGAATGAAATTGTAGCTTGCCTTAGGTCAAAGAGCAGAGACACAACATAGGACTCCCCAACGTGTGTGTTCTAGTCACAAGACTACACTCTCTCCCAAAGTGTATTTCCTCATTCTATCCCTCACCCCACCCCTAAATGTGCTTCCACTTTTAATCTAAAAAACCACCCCCATACTATACGGTGCTCATTTTTTGTTTTAAATGAAACTGATAGGTCAGTACTGATAAACAACCTTATATAGAGCCACACTAAAGTGTAACAACAATGTAGAGGGGGAAAAGTGTGAAAGGAACAGGTGTTAATTTCTAATTTGAGGGAATATTGTTTTAAAAGTTAAGGATGTTAATTTTTAATTAAGCAGTTGGCTATTTTTATAGATTCAAGCCATTTGCATCCGTTATAACGGTTGAAATCTGACCGTTGGGTTTGATTACATACTGTTCTGCGCCCAAACTAAAGAACCACCATACTACTTTGCAAATGAGATACCAATACTCCTCCAAAAATATTAACTTGTACCAAAAGAGTTCTCATATCAAGTGTATTTTATTTTGTTTTTGTTAAGTTATCTGTGCAGTCAGTTTAAAAGAACAGTTAACATGATGAATACAGACAAACCACGGAAGCATTAGGTACAGTATCTTTTAACAGTTAACACTGAAGACGCAAATGACTATATTAAACACATTCTTTATTCTGGCTGTTGCCAAACAAACTGAAGTTGAAACATACATAGGTCTGGGTCAGTGTAAACCTAACGTTAAGCAGCAAGTTGCTCACTGATTGCAGCGCAGTATATAGCATTTACTGCAAATAGCTACAGCAGCAGTGCTTAATGAATGAACTGCATAGAATTAGCCTTGTGGGCAGGTGTTAAATAACCATGATAAAAATCATAATGGCTTCCTAACAGGTCTGAATTTTGCAATAGTCATAAGAAAAATCCTACAAGAATACAACTGTCCTCAGTTTTCTCCTGAATTTGTAGCCATTATTTACCTACTCTTTTCAACCAGCCTATATTATGTGCTTGTTCTACGATCCCTGGCAGTAGCCTTTTCAAATAAAGTGTTTCACATACAAAGCAGATAACTGCTGCTCACTCAACCATTGCTACAAAAGTGATATGAATATATTTTAAATTAATTGACCAAAACCAACCAGTATATTCAGTAGAATGGTTGCAATAAGGCATATATATTTAAAAATAAATCTAATTAAAACAAAGATTAAATCAGTCATTTATATTTTTGCCTTACAAAATGGTTTTTTTAGAATTGTATTAATTAAAAACGAAGTGCTCAGCTACAACTAAAATACTTTAGATGTACATTGTTAAAAAAAAGTCCAAAACAAAATTTTTTGAAGACAAGAACATGAGTTCTATTGGACTGGTAAAACTTAATACCTTGGACCTGCTCACAGGCACATGTTCACATAAATACACCCTTGTTTTATAGGTGTGTGTAAAACCCCAATATGCCGAAGTTTCCACATGGGACATGTGCAGAAAACCCTTTTTATTTTCTCCTATTCATATTATACATTGACATCTTCATCACCGAAGCCACACAACTCACACTATCTCTACAATATAAATCTCATTGTCATGCTGCTACTAGGAGCATGAATGTTACGTTATAGGTGGATTTAGTGTTACTGGCAAGTAGGTCACATCAGCATTATTAATTAGTAAGAGTGTTGGCTATTTTTCACAAAATGACAGACAGACTAGATGAACTCCATGTGGGGGAAATGTTGATCAGAAAGGCAGGACAAACTTGCTTCCCAGAGTTCTATATTCATTAGTTTTAATTTCCATGTTATTGCACACTTCCAGGTAGAAGTGTCAGCACTGAAACTTACTGGGTTTCCCTCATCAACTTACTCAAGGCATGAGGCACAAGGACTTTCGAGTGCTACCTTGCTTGGTATCTGTATAGCTGTAATTTCACATTTTTTCCACAGCTGTTGAAATTAGAGCCTGTCTGTGGGTTTCCATTACCTCTTTCAGCAGGAGAGATTAGAAATGTCAGCTTTTTGCTATCTGTGTATTTCCTATGTGTACTTATATTTCAGTTAAAACTGAAACGTACATATAGTAGGAATGCTTTATATCAAGATTATAGTCCTTTTGCAGACTAAAATTAATGAGAGTTTACAAAAACGTATGTTCTTAATGAAAAGATTAAGAAAAGTGCTCCCAAATCTGCTTAGAACTGTTCGGCTGAAGGTATACTGAACATCAAATGGACTATACTGTTGAGTATGTCCTAACAGCAAACACTTGAAACAAGCAGGAAAAGGAAACAATGTTGTTGAACAGTTTGAATACAGTACAATGGGGATATTACCTTAAATCAATAGCCATTTCCAGTTCCCATTCTCACCAGTAGGAAGTATGGAATAGGAAAAACTATTAATATGTTTTACATGTGTTTTGAGGATATGTGCAAACTGATGTGTAACCATGCTTGAAAGTGTAATCCTGTAATAAAGCATGTTTATACATACCTGCTGGTAAACAAAGAAAGAACACAGAACTTGCAGGGAAGGGTCAAGGACATCCATTACATATTTTAACACTGACACATTAGGAAGAAAGTTTATGTCAGCTGTTTGTGGTATATTTCAGTGAATACTGTCATCTTCAAATCCTAACACATTGGCTTTCAAATAATATCCACAGATAAATTAGAATATAAAGGCAGTAAAAATGTGCTCTTCTCCCAGACATAGGAGAAGAGCACATTCTATCAAAGAGCTAAGCATTGCTTAGCATTCTATCTATCATTCTATCAAAGAGCTAAGCATTGCTATTGTCACTAGAGGTTCAAGAGAGTTTGTCCACAGATGTAGGATTCATAGTTTGTAGTTTTAAGACATTTTCCTGTAGAGCAGAATCTGAATGCAGGGAAAACTAAGGAGAAATTAAACAAATCAACAAGATGCATCCAAAGTTTATGAAAGGAAGTCAAATGAGCTTGTTCCAAAACACAGACACTGTTCTTTTTGTAGCTTCATCCCCCAACATCCCCCTTCAGAGGCAGCACCTGCTTATTCTTCCTTGTTTGATACACATTAAACTCTAGTTTACAAAGTTGCTAGATTGCTGCAATGTGGGATTTAATTTTGCTTGAAGTACAATGCAAAAAAATAATAATAAAAAAAGGATGTTCACCTGGAGTACAATTCAGGTACTGAAGAACTGGGAGAATCTGCTAAATTGCTGATACAACCAGTAACCACCACCACCAAACATGAGGTACTAAACACATTGCTACAATACTATTAAAGTGGTGTCCACCAAATTGGTCACAAATTCTTCATAATAAATGGCGCCAGAAAAAAAAAATCTGGTACCAAATACCTGATGTAAAAATGTTTACATTTTAAAGTGAGTTAGAACTGTGCTTGCCACTTTCGGATACTGAACAGTGAAGACACTTAACCCATGCTGCACCTCCCCATCTCCAGTAAAAATGGAGTCAGAGATTCAGATGACAAAACACAGACGTCTAGCAGAATAGTTTTACCTGTAACCCTTCTTGTGTCAAAACCAAGAAGCCAGGTATGGTCACCTGATTATGTTTTTCTTTAAGGAGATAGTTACAACCTCCACATCACGTGCATCTAGTACGGATTCTCTCATGTACAGAAAAGGTTACTAAACCTCATTTTAGAATACCGTGCAAGCAGGATATCCTTTGAACATCTTTCAAGTTTACATGCATTGACAAGTTGAAGAATATATATATATTTATATTTATATAGCTGAATGAAATGCAGAAATAAAATTAAATTTTACTACAACTAGTTGCAGTGCTGTGAAATAAAAATAAAGTTCGGAACCATTTCCAGTCTGACATGCTTACCCTGTTCAGACGAATGGAAAGGCTAGGTCTAGGGACCAGGAAACCGCATCCATTTGCAAGGGCGGGAGCTACAGCAGCTCAGCCTTTTCCAGGCGGAGAGATTCTCCCCCACCTTCTTTTTTCTAGTTCTATATGGCTTACCATTAAAGCCCTTCCTGAACCGCTACTAAAGTAGTGTATATCTGAAATCCAAAAGTAAAGACTCACAGGTATTTGGCTTTTTTCAGCCCATTGTTTTTAGTAAAACCAAACCGCTGAATCACACAGAGCAGCAGAAGTGTTTAATCTGTTCATAGTTGACTATCTTTTTAAGTTGCTTCTTCTGCTGGTGCCCTTCTTTGCCGTGCCGATTTCTGTCTACATCTCTGTGGAGTGGGTGGAGTCTCCTGTTCAGCTTCAGACTCTGAAGGCTCATTATCCCCCTGCTGGGATCCTGTGTCTCCTATCAACTCTCTCAGGAACTTGAATTTAGATAAAAACAGTTGCCACACCACATACCAACCTATGGGAGACAAAAACCAAAGAGTTACTCATTTATGTTATACAACTTCATATTTTTCCAACATACAAAAACCCAGGCTACAAAAAGTGCATTCATCAACTGCTTACCAGCGCTCGGAAAAGGATTACCCCTTTCCAAAGATTTTAAAATGATCTACAGTTCTCAATTTGATTCAACTAGTAGAACTCTCGTCTCTGGACCAGAAGAGGCCAAGTTCAAATTCCAGATTAGGACTTGAGCTCCCTGTGAACGTTAATATGTCAGCATAGCAACAGGGGGTAATGAATATCGCACAGTTATGGGTATCATCCTTCCAGTGTTAAAATGAGCTTCCTTCTTGTTTCTTGACTGGCCATGACACTTTTTCATTGTAAAAAGATAAGCCCAGCATTTCTAGCCTAAACTTGCTCACTCAAAAAATAGACCAGAATACCTCGGTCTCTGCATAAACTATTGCTGAATGCGATCATGCTTTGGCTGTTTTACTACACTGCTAGTTTTATAACAGGTGTGGGAAGATCTTAAATTAGGATTTAGTACAAACCACAGCTCTGTTCTAGAATCAGACTGACGAGGTTCTCATTCTTCTAGCCCTCAAAATATTCTGAAGTGATACTTCAACTGGAAGAGTTGATCCCTTCAGTTCAAAAGTCTTGCTTAAACAAGGTACTACCTCATTTACCCTTCCAGGATTCCATTACAGAAAAGTTAAAATGATCAGGGAACACTATTTAGTATTGGACAGCTCCTCCCACCCCGACCTCCATATACAGGGAAGGGACTATAAAAGGCAATTTAAAACATGTGCTGTTTAATCAGAACAGCAAATTACAGTAGTTAGTCTTCATTTTTAATGCCCTGCACAGCCTACCCCCAATCTAACCATTATTTTGAACAGGATATCAAGAGGTCATCTTTCGATTCTTACTACTGAGGGCATTCTGCGCCAAAAAATTAAAAATTCTGTGCACAATATTTTAAAATTCTGCAAGTTTTATTTGTCAATAAATAAATGTAGAGGCTCCAGCATGGCAGCGGGAAGCACAGGCCACTGGCTTGCTGAAGGTGGGAGATCACCCTGCAACCCCCCCACCCCCAGGACGCGGACTCAGAGGTGAGGCACCACCCAAACCTGACAAAGCACAAGGCTTGGGCCTGCCCCAGAAACACCCTGGGACCCTGCCCCTCTGCGCCAGGCGCACCAGGTGTGGGGAAGGCAGGCTCAACCAGGTAGGATCCAAGTGTGGAGGGGCTCAGTGTGGGGGGGATTCAGGTGTGGGGTGAGAAGATTTGGTGTGGAACAATCTGGGTGCAGGCAGCTCAGAGGTGGGATCTGGATGCACAGAGACTCGTGGGGGGGAGGGTTCCAGATGGAGGGGCAAGGGGACTCTGCAGAGGCTTCCAGGTGAAGGTGGTTGGGGCTCAGCGGAGGGGTCTGAGCGTGGGGAATCTCAGCGGGGGGTTTTGGGTGTGGGAGGAGTATGGCTTAGTGGAGTGGGGGTCTGGGTGCAGCTAGTTGGGGGTCAGTGGTGTGGGGGCTCAGGATGGTGCAGCGGGTGGGGCATCAGGGTGGGGGTTTGACTGCAGGGAACTCAGTGGGGGGTGGTATGGGTGCAGGGGTGGGGGTTCAGAGGCAGGAGGTGTGGGTGCAGGGGGGGGTCCAGGTGCAGGGGCTGAAGTTCAGTGGGGTTGAGGTTCAGGTATGGAGGGCTAAGGGGGTTCTGAATGTGCCCAGTGAGGCTTGGCAAGAGTGTCTGGGTATGGGAGGTGCGGATGCATGGGGGTTGGGTGGATGGGGGAGCAGTTCCCTGTACAGTGAGCCCCCTCCCAACGGTTGAGGAGCGATGGGGGCATGAAACAGGGGAGGATGCTGAGCTTCCTGCAGCTGGGGGAGGTTTTGTGGGGTTGGGTCTGACACAGTCCCAGACATTCCTTGCAGGGAAAGAACAAATCCCGTCCTCTCCTGCCTCCAGTGCAGACAGGACTAGCAGCTGATGCTGGCTCAGGGTAAGAGCCACTGGCCCGGTGTCCCCAGCCCTGAGATGATTTACCTCTCTGCCAGGTTCTCCGGGTGCCTGAAACAATGTACCTGCACTGCTAGGGAGAGGTGTGTGACTGCTCTTACAGCTTCCCTTTGCTTCCCTGTCAGAAAGGGATTTTTCTGTGGGAAAGCAAAGAAATCTGCAGGGAACATGAATTCTGTACACACGCAGAATTCTCCCAGGAGTAAATTCTGCTCTATCAATGTTTCCAGTCTTCAATGCCCAATTGTTACATTTTCCAAACCAACATCTTTATGCTGTGTTCCATGCCTCTCCTCAAGCATGGAAGGATCTCCACTAAATATCTGAAAAGCCATCTTATTGTCTCCCATATCCTTCCTTAAAACTCTCCTCTGCCATGATGCCTACAAAAAAAACTTGACCATATTTAGGGAAGTTACTGAACTGTGATTACTGGTCTTGTCGGCTAGCATTGTCTCATTGTTTCCCTGTGCTCCCTCTTTCTGCTTGTTGCATCCACCTGTTGTCTCTAACCATATACTTCAATCGTAAGCTCTCTGAGGAAGTGACTATCTCTGTTATGCATTTGCAAAGCATCTAGCACAATGGGGCCCTGATGACTGGGACTCTTAAATGCTACCATCATAATTAAGGCTTCAAGTTTGTCACAGAGGTCACGGAAGTCATGGATTTCGTGACTTTCCATGACCTCCGTGACTACTTCAGCAGCCGGGGCACCTGGCTCTGGCATAGCTCAGGCAACCCTTGTGGCAGTCGTACTGGCAGCTGCTGGGGCAGTCTCGGGCTACCGTGCCCCCCTTGCCTCACCAGCAGCAGTGGAGTTTGGGCATGAGAGGGGGCTGGGGCACAGGAGAGGGTGAGGCAGGCTCTGGGCAGCTCTTACCCGAGAGGGGCTCCCCAGAAGCAGTGACCTCCCCCGGCTCAGCTGCTAGGCAGAGGCGTGGCCAGGCAGCTCTGTGGTGTGCGCTGCCTCCACCCGCAGGCACCACCCTCACAGCTCCCATTGGCCGCAGTTCCCAGCCAATGGGAGCTGTGAAGCCAGTGCTCTGGGTGGAGGCAGCGCACACCACAGAGTTGCCTGGCCACGCCTCTGCCTAGCAGCTGAGCCAGGGGGAGGTCACCAGTTCTGGGGAGCCTCCCAGGTAAGCACCACCCAGAGCCCGCCTCACCCTCTCCTGTGCCCCAGCCACCTCCCACACCCAAACTCTGCTGCTGCGAGGGAGGCGTGGAGCCAGGTAGGGAGCCTTATGGCCCCGCCAACTCACCCCTCCCCCGCCAGCACCCGGGCAGCCCTCCCCCAGTCCCACCCACCCTCAAGTTTTAGTCAGAGGTATTTTTAGTAAAAGTTATGGACAGTGATTTGAAAAATTATGCTATATAAAAGTGTTATGTGTTATACTAGAAATGTTAGTTTTATCCTGCTTAGAGTTAATCATTAATACTTTGACTCACATCATGAACTGGGAAAATCCTGTCAATCCCAAATTTAAGTCACTGGCCTATATGAATTTTAATTACCTTTAAAAAATCTTGTTTGCCCAGAACTAGCAGAACCAGTCCTGATTATTTATTTTAGGTGTTACCAGAGAATGATAATAGACATCCTTTAAATGTGGACAATAACGCAAGGCTCATCAAGGAAGATGATAACAATACAGAGACATCTAGGGAATCAGTGAATGTGAAAGATGATAGTTCTCTCTCTGGAAAGATAGATTTTAAAAAGATTATTTTTTGTGCCCTAAGATCATGCATACCGCAACTGGCTCTACAGAATCTGTAGTTAAATCCTATTTCCCTCACTGGCCCAATTTTTATAGAAAAGCAATCAAACAATGCAAAGGCATGTTAGTTTCTACTCACAGGAGAGAGAGAGGAAAAAAACAATAAGTGTGTCAAATGAAAACAGAAAACTACCAGCAATATACATATTGCTAGGATTAAAACTGTACTCATTACTACTAGTTTTCTATTTTCATACACATTTAATATAGATGAATGATACTCAGGATATTACAAACAATTAAAGAAAACCTATGAAGCAGCTATGAATCTCCAGTTCTATAGGTCCTCATTCTTGCCACTAAATCATACACTAAGATTTGATTTTTTTAAAAAAAGATGTAATGTACTTTATTAGACCTTACAAACGTATATATGAAGAAAAAACAGACAACAAATTATCTATTTTTTTCCCTAGAAGCCCTTCAAAGAAAGCCAATTCACATAATAAAGAGTACAGTTTTAATTCTAGGGACAGCAGAGAACAAGGTATCAAAATATTTAGCATCTTCCACAAAATAGTATAAGGTGCTCTAGAATAACTCATTTAAAAGATGAACGAAAAGTATTGAAATGTATTTAATACCCTAGATTACCAGCATAAATGGGGCACTGAGCACATCACTTGGTATTACACAATAAGTGTTCCTTTTATTTTTGCCAACTGAGCCATTCATCTTACAAATGATCATTTGTATATCTACAAAACTCTCTAGTTTAAGACAAGAATTTGGACATATTAGATAACCAGCCAATTCAGACCTCACTGAGCAACTAAGAATCTACGGTCAACTAAGTACACTGAATCACTATACAGATTTAAAAAGCAGTGCAGGATTTTACAGAAAATCAACGTCTTGATACGAAAGAGATGGTCAATTTGAAATCTAGTCATTTATATTAAAAAAGTTAGAAGTACTCTGAGGTGCGACACCTGCTCCCAACTGTCACTGTCAATTGTGGAGGTTTTACAGCCATTTTCTTATTTTCTTCTCCCACAGGTTCTCTCCCCTTGTTGCTGTGTAAAAGGCATACCTAAACATGTAAAACTGACTGATTGTCCAGGGGAAACCCTGGAAGTGTCCCCACATAATGTAATCAAAGTGGATAAAGCCTTTTTTTCTAATTGCTTTCAGTCACAGTGTAAGCTCTGATTTAAGAAAGTGTTATCTGAAGCAATACTAAATAAACAGA